TGGGTTATCCCAGAAGTAGCTGATAAGTATACCTTATTAAATGGTGTCATTCAATTATAATAATTCTGTTTTCCTAAAGTCTTTCCCTAACAAGAAGAAGAGAGGCTGTTTGTCTCTAAACATTTTAAGAGGTCATTACAGATTTTATAAAACCTTACTTATTTTACTTTACGATAACTAGGAAAACAAAACATATGGTCCATGACACTTTAAATGAAGAAAATGTGGGCTGGGAAATCAAACCAATAGTAAGCGAATCTGAGTCCCGGGAGGGAAATCCCTGGTTTAGAAATTGGTGCAGGAGTCAGCACCCTCTCCTAGGCTTGGCAACAGGAAACATGCTATGATTTGTTTAGTGACACGGTGGCCAGAGCCAGGGAAAATCATGTGCAAGCATGTGCCTGGACACGGAGAAAACCAAGCCAGCCAATACACCAATTTTTAAGTTAATCTCTTCTCGCTCCTTCCCTTTGCATCCCAAGTCTTCAGGTATCTGGATAGCCGAGAGCCTCAGACCCACTCAGCTTTCCTCGAGGTTGTCCTCTGTCTCTGGGGCAACCAGGCTCTCACTGAGACAGAATATTTACCACATGTAGCACAGTGCCTGGAACACAAGAAGGTATTTGATAAACATGGTGAGCACCTGTGCTGCCTGTCTGTTTTGTCCCTTCACCTTGATTTGCTTAGAGAGATCTCAACAAAGACTTGGCATGTCTCTTCACAAAGCTCCAAGTCCCTGAACTGAGGAGTGTTATAATAGAAGGGAGACCACACACCGACTTGCAGCCATGCTATTGGATAAAAACTGGAATGGCCAGGGAGGATAGCTAACTCAAACACAAAAAATGTCTAAGCCACAGGAATCGCCTAAGATTTGTGTGTGAAACCAGTTTTCTGGATGGCAATGCTGTGAGAAGGAGGGAAAGAATTTAGTTGGTTAAGTTAGTTGGTTATTCTTAGCCCCAAATCCCATTGTATGACTCTACAAATAATCACATTATGTAGAGGAAATGTATTATGAAAATGAAACACAACAACCCTGGCTGGTTTGGCTCAGCGGTTAGAGCATCAGCCTGCGGTCCAGAGAGACCCGGGTTCAGTTCCCACTAAGGGCACAGACCTCAGATGCAGTTTGTCCCCAGCCCTAGTTGGGGTCATGCGGGAGGCAGCCACTCGATGTGTCCCTTTCATGATGATGTTTCTCTTTCTCTCTCTCTCTCTCTCTTCCTCTCTCTCCCTCCCACTCTGTCTGAACAAAAAATGGAAAAGTGTCCTGGGGTGAAGATAAAAAAATAAAATTAAAGGGTAAGAGATCTATAAAAAAAAAAAATGAAACACAACAGAAATAGAAATCAAAGAGCTGATTATCCTTTTTTTTTTTTTTTTTGCCTTACCAAAGAAAAGCCAGAGGGAGGAAAAGAGGGTTCTTTCAGAATGTAACCTTCCCTGATTCTTTTGAAACACGGTTTTCTAAATGTTCAATTTGTAAATAAGTATTGGAGAGTCGCCTATCAGGTAAACTATGTATATTTGTTACATAACAACAACAAAAAAACACCCACAAATTTAGCAGCTTCAAACAATAAACATTATTTAACAATTTTTGTGGGTCAAGGATTTGGGAATATTTTTCCTGGGTCTCTCAAGAGGCTGCATTCAAGCTATTGGTGGGTTTGCTGTCCCTGATGTCCACCTGGGTCTTGCGAAACCACTTCGAGCCTGCCCTGTGGTTACTGATGAGAGGGGTTAGTCCTTTGCTCTATGGGCCTCTCCCTAGAGTCGCTCACAAAATGGCTTACCCTAGAGCAAGTGACCCAAGAGAGAGATGGCACAAGAGAACAACCAAAGTGCAAGTCACGGTCCTGTTATAACCTTATTTTGGAAGTGACATGCCATCACTCTGCATGGTGCTGGTCACCGTGATCAGTGTGGGAGGAAACTGCCGAAGCATGTGAACACCAGGAAGTGAGAATTTGGGGAACCATCTTAATGGCTGGTCATTACACTATTCCAGTTGTTCTGCACACCTTAGACCTGCAGCCATGTAGTGCCTCTGTCTGGAACACCGTGATGACAAGTAAAGATGTGAGGTGTGAAGAGCTAGTTGGCATCCATAGTAAGAGTGCCCTCCGTGGGCAGGCTTGCCACCACGTCACACAGACGTTTTAATGCAAATTCATTGATCTTATTAGAAGTCCAAGGCATGCACCTTCTAATGCAAATGCATTGTGTTATGTTTGTATGTGAGCAAACTTATAATTAAGCACATAGCTTAGAATCCATTTAGGAAACATAATGACGTAAACAATGTGGATACACTGTAAGAATCAGTTCTAGGTCCGTGTATTACTAAGTAGAACTATAACATCAGGCAAGTCACTTAACCTCTCTAAGCTTATTTTTCAACCATAAAATGAGTGTGTGGAGTAGGTGGTTTCTAACAACACTACTACTTCTAAAAATGGTTATTTAATAATATTCTCATTATGGAAAATTTTCAATAAGATGCATTTCAGAGTACAAATTTCTAGACAATAGCATTTTGACAGAGAAATGCATCACAAATTGGCCTATAATCCTGCTGAATGAGGGCATTTTAAAATAAGACATTTTTACTAGAACAAGGCTATTGACAGCATTCACTGATGACAAGCTGCCACGTGCTGTGCCCGGGCTTGTCCAGGCCAGCGTGAGAGGATGTGGGTGAGTCGGCCGAGCTTCCTCCTGTAGGGGCCAGAGCGGTGTGTTCCCAAAGTAGTCTTCATAGGTCACATACTCAGCATGTGATCATTTCAATCCCCACAGGTCTAAGTGTATACATTTTTTAATTTACATCCCATAAAATTTACCTATTTTAAGTGTAAAATTCAATAACTTTTAGTAAATTACAGAGTTGTACAATCATAACCACAATCTAATTTCCATCATTCCCAAAAGATGCCTTATATCCATTTGTAGCCCATTGTTTGTCCAACTTTCATCCTCAGGCAACCACTAAATTTGCTGTCTCTATAAGTTGCCTTTTCTAGAAATGTCATACAAATGGAATCATATAATATGTAGTCTTTTGCATCATGTAGTCATATAGTAAAAGGTATTCAAGGTGCATCCATGTTGTAGCATGTATCAGCAGTTCTTTTAATTTCAGAATAATATTCATTTGTAAGGATATTTGCTTATCTCTTCACCAATTGTATGGACTTCCACTTCGGGGCTGTTGTGAATAATGCTCCTATGAACATTTCTGTCAAATCTTTGTGGACATAGGTTTTCATTTCTTTCAGGTGTACACCTAAGTAATGGAATTACTGGGTCGTATGAGTTAAACTCTATAATTAATTTCTCAAAAAACTGCCAAACTATTCTCCAGATTGGCTACACCACTTCACATCGCCATTTTTCATTGTACTGACAGGCATTGATGGCAGTGAGGAAAATGTGAACTGGGGAATCTCTTCCGGTCAGGGGGACCCCAGCTCTAGAAAACCTTATGCCTGACTGACAAAGAAGTTTTGGGTCAGTGACCACTGAAACCGTTGTTTTCTGGGCTAAATTCTTCCTGATTGCACTAAGAAGCAACCCCTACTTACTTGTGTGGTGCTCTTGTACGTTCTTTTTCACTATCAAGACCATCCAAAGCGAAGTTCTAAAAAATGCACCTCCCATCCCAAATAGTTTATTTTATTGCATAAATGCCAATCTCTTTGTAGCTAGCACTTAGACCTCAGAAAGAGACAATGTATTCCAAAACATAGTCAAAGATATTTTTATATTGATCTAACATTGTACTTGTGAAGAAGTATCCTGCAGGCAAGAAAATTTCTGTGTACTATTTTATTTAGGAAAAATCCTGTATCGTTTTCCTCTGTAGTTAACTTAAAGGATCTTTAAGACATGGCTGGACCTCAAGGGTAATATGCTAAGTAAGTTAGACAGAGAAAGACAAATACCGTATGATTTCATTTATATGTGAAACTAAAAATATAAAATAAATCGACAAACAAAACAGAAATAGACTCATAGATACAGAGAACATTTTGATGGTTGCCAGATGGGAGGGAATCAGAAGATGGGTAAAAACAGTGAAGGGATTAAAAAGTACAAATTGGCAGTTATAAAAATAGTTATGGGGATATAAAGTACAGCACAAGAAATATAGTCAATAATATTGTAATAACTATGTATGGTGTCAGATGGGTACTAGACTTATTGGGGATCACTCTGTAAGTTATATAAATGTCTAATCATTATATTGTACACTTGAAACTAATATAATAGTGTATGTAAACTGTGATTTAAAAATTAAAAATTATTTTTTAAAAAATTTAGCTTGTGGACCGTGTAAAACTAGGTCACAGTGAATTGGTTTGGCCCATGGGCTGTAATATGGTGATGAATAAATAAATAAAGGATCTTTAAGTAAGGCACTGTACAAATGTAAACATAAACAATATATATAATGTGCACTATTATTTTAGAAGCTGTAGTTTTTACTGAGTCTAGTGGTTACGCAATAAAAATTTGCTGATGAATCTGCCCTAAGAATAAATGTCTATTTTAAGGGACTAAAATGACACAAATAATGACTTAGTGTTGTAATAAAATGTTGTCAATTTTATTAAAACTTCACATAGTTAAGTAAGTCTGTTTTTCTTAAAGCCCATTTTATTGTATTGCTTCATCAGAGTCAGCTGGCTCAGTGAGACTGTCACTGATGAAGACGTACAAAGTCAGCACCGCACATCTGTAGATGCAGAGAGCCATGGCGACCTTTCCCGTATGTACAGCCCCCTTTTACACACACACACATATTTACAGCTAATAAATAACACGTAAAGCCAAAGCATTGTTAATATATAATTTAGAGTGAAGTCTAGAGAAGCCAGAGTTCCCAGGGCCAGGCGTTGATTTGATTCATATGTTCTTAAGTTTGTGCACCCTTGCTCAAAACCCATATCCAGAAAACTGATGAATTAGCAATAAAGGGGGATGCCAACCACTAATCACACAAGGTTTTATTTTTAGAGAGAATTCATGCCAGACTGGCTGATATCGATCACAACAATCTTTCTACTCTGTACAGGCACAACCGTATTTCTCAGAGAAGGGCTTACGTTTGGCACCTCTGGAACAGTTTCTACACCAACAAATTCTGATACATCTTTTGATCATTCATCTTCCAAGCCTCACTGAATAATTATTGTACACGTGGGGCTTCGTATGTGAGCATGTATGTGTTCAGGTGCCCACATGTGTTCACAGTTTGGATTCCCAGCAATAGCCTCTGAGATATTTGACTTCTTTTTCATTTTATATTAATATATAGAAAAGCATTCTGAACACAGGAGGTCTAGTTTATAAATAACTGCTCACTCACTCCTGACTAGTTGTTAAAAACAACTCTCATGCCATTTCCTGTGGCCGTGGCAATTGAGGATTCTTTGAATTGCCTACAATGGTTTTAAGCACTGTTTATGAATATGTCCCAGTGACTTTTCCATCTCTCTACTTAGTAAAAATGGTCTTTGTCTAGAATTTGTAGGCTTTTGAGTGATGCAAAATTTGAATTTAAACACATTTTCTTATCGAAACCAGGGAAGAAAGAGACACGCTCCAAGTCTGACTGAAGCATGACTGAGATGAGCCTAAAACCGAATAGAAACCACTAAATGACTACGAACCAATGAATATAGTTTTGAAAATCTGATGCTAAAATTATGGATCATTGTCTCTCTCCATAGCTAAAATTATGTGTCAGCTGAGTGTGGCAGGCTTGTTTTAACACCTACCCAGGGAACACTGATAAAATATAACTGAGAAAAAGCTAGAAAAGGAGAGGAGAGATTAAGCCATAAACTATAAAGCTGATTAAGACTTAATTGTTCTAACTTTTATATCTCTTTTAATTTGTAACAGTTATGATGCATCCAACCACAGGGAGTGTTTAAAGAGCCAGTTCAGCTCCTCACTCCAAGTCACTGGTTCCTGGTTAGCTCCCGGGCCACGTCCACCAGCAAGAGCTGCCGTTCCAATAAGGGCAGGCGTTTGGACAGGTAAGGAGATAAGTCGGACTCAGGCCACAGAAAGTTATTTTCTATATTTGGACTTGGAGTAAACTTTGAGAATGCATAGATTCAGAAAATTCAAAATTCCTACTAAAATATGAGGTTCTAATCAATTGTAGGCTATGGCTAAACTCACTACATAAAAAAGCTTTATTATTTTACCACAAGCCCAAACAATTCTTATTTCTTTCTCAAAGGACAAAATGCAGTGCTTTTCATATGTGCTGTTTTTTTTTTTTTTTTAATGTTGGAAGATGTGCTATTTGGCCACTGTACTCCTCAAATTGAATTAGCCACTTTTTAGTATTTGAGACTGTCTCTTAAAATAACTAAGAAGGATAGCTGGGATTAATACTCAGGAAAATTCACTTTTAACCACCCAAAGCTCTGGGCATGTTTTGTAGAAGTTACTTCATGCTTCACAGAATTCATGTGCTGTCCTTCCTCCTGTAGATTCTGAGAAAGAAAAAAAGAGAGAGAGAGACAGAGGGCAGTTTATTATCTGCTTAGTGTTTACATCCCTCTCCCTTCCCCCAACACCTCCAGGATGAAAAAAAAAATGTCAACTGGAACAAAGTTGTGAGAAAAAACCCAGGGAAGATGTGGATAATGGGTCAGAGAACGTGGCCAGTTCCTAGAAAGGAAAGGCACTCTGACGCCTACTTAGCCACGTTCCAATAAAGAGGATCATTTTCAGAAGACTGAACCAAATGGTTTCGAAATTTAGAAAGATGTCTGTACTTCTAAAACGTGCTAAATGAAATGCCTGTGGGTTTTGTTTTTTCTTGTGATATGAGACTTCTAAAGAGTTATGTCAGAAGATGAAAGAAAGAGAAATTTTGTCTGATTGATTTAATCACAGAGGAAACTGCAGATGGTTGTTAGTCTGATTCATAGTTACCTCCTAAAAAAAAGTTCAGATGCATTCAAAAAAGCTGCCTGTGTCTATTGTCTCTGTAATCCTATAGTCAGACAAGGAATGTATCATTAGCCTTTCTCAGGTAAATTCTTATAACTAAAAATACATTATAGACAGATGGAGGTATTTCCTAATTTGGGGTTTGTTTGTTTTTCACATTGACATATAGATTTAAAGTTGTGAATAATTTAGGGGAATGTATGTGTACTTGTGCAGTTGTGTGTGTTTTTATGTCACATAAATTCATGTATAAAACTTCACATAGGAGTCCCTTTCAAAGTGTTAAAGTATTTGTGAAATTGCCTCAAATTTGTGATGAGGCAAAACAAAGCAATGAACATCTTAGTAGAACAGTCTTCACTTATATAAATTCAGTTACTCTGCCTGGCTCAAGACTAGTAACTATTCTCCATTTCCAGTTTATCTTGAGTGTCTTAATGTTCTTAATTCAGATGGCTTCACCTTGCCACTCAAAAGTATATATGCCATAATTCCATTTTTGTAAAATAATAAAAAAACATACAAATATAATACACGCTTGGAAAAAGTCTGAAAATATATACAGGCATATCTCTGAGATATTACGGGTTCGGTTCCATACCACCACAATAAAGCGAGTGTCACATTAAAGTGAGTCACACAAATGTTTTGGTTTCCCAGTGCATAGAAAATTTACACTATACTGTAGTCTATTAAGTGTGCAATAGCATTGTCAAAAAAACAATGCCCATGCCTTAATTTAAAATGCTTTATTGCTAAAAAATGCTAACCATTATCTGAGCCGGTTGGAAAAATAGAACCGACAGACTTGCTTGGTGCAGGGTTGCCACAAACCTTCAATTTGTTAAAAACCCAATGTCTGAGAAGCTCAATAAAATGAGGTCTGCCTGTATATTAAAATGTTAATTTGGGGTTGTCACTGGGTGATAGAGTCACAATGATTTTCTTTTTGCCTCTTTTTCCTAATCTATCCATAATCCATAATTATCCATGGATAAATTACATTAAAAATAGAAATTCAAAATAATAGAGATATTCCATATAGGCTCTTTAACATGTTTTTTTCTGATTAGGCCATTCTTATTCTGTACTTTTGTCTACAAATGTAACTGGGAGAAGACAAACCAAAAGCAATAGCCTTTTCTGCTTCCAGATAACATTGTAACCAGTCTTTTCCATTGTTTCTTTCATCATTGGCTTGTAGTGACCTACGCTTTCTCTTCTTCACACCTGCCTCTCACTAGCACTTGGCATCTGGCAGGGGAAGGAGCGGAGGAATGAAAGTGGCGTAGAGCAGGAATTCAGGAAGGGTCACATGCTTGGTCTCCACTTAGTACTGACGCTCTGGAAAGATTCAGCTGCCAGCTGCCACGTGGATTAGCCTTAAAGGTCAGGTAGAAAAGAGCCAGGAGTTGTTTTGAGGTGGAAAAGAGAATCGTCTCCTATACTCTCACTCCATTAACTCCCCACCTTTGGAGATCTGAGATGACAGCTGGTGGCTGCCCCTTGGTTTCTGTCCCCGAGTTGCTGGCACTCAGAGCATCGTAAAAGGACTATGTAGCCACGGCTGATGTTTCGCTCTCCTGGGAGGAGCAGCACCCACGGCCACGTGGCCACTAGCCTGTGCTGTACGTTCTGCACACAGTATTGGGACAGTAGCAGGCGTGCAGCACGCGAGAAGGCACGGGTGAAGATTTTCTGGTTGTTCAAGGAGTAAAATAAAATCTAAATATTGTGCCTGATATGAAGGTCAAAGCTGGCAGAAAGAACAGAAAGAGAGAAAAAAAGAGAAAGTACTGCCCAAAGCAAATGGACCAGTCTGACGTGTATATGGAAGGGCTAAAGAAGACCGCCGGAGGCTCTGATCACGAGACTCAGCGCAGCCCTCGGCACGCGAGCTCAGGCACCCAGAGAGCTTTAGTCCATGATGCTCACCAGCCAGACTTTTTATTCAGAGACCTGTCATGGCATTTTACAAATACCACAGATGACTTTCCTTTCTGCAGACGAGACACTTTCTCCCTGGAACAGAAGATCGCCCTGTGGAGAGAAAATAATGGATGTGAATATGCCGTGTGGATTAATGAAGAAGACTGTTCAAAAATGTGTGTTTGGGTCAGGCCTGTTTAAATCCCATGTGATCCATCTGACTAATTCTTTTAATATTTCTAATAATTAACAGTTTACACTCAGGCCATCTGGTCGGCACCACATCTGAATCAGAGGGTTATTTAAGGGCCTAGCCCTCTGTTCGGCAATAAAGCTGGTTCATCAATCTAGATGCCATACAGCCTGGAGCAGCCTTAAAATCACAAGGCTTTCCCCAAGAGATGCTACAAGGTCAGGTTCACCCCCTCTGAGGATCTGCCTTCAGGAATTCGCAAACCAGCCTCCCCCTGGGGCAGCCACATCCTTTTTTTTCTTTTTTGGTTATAAAAGAGAAATAACTTACCAAACCTAATTTTAAAAGTCATATTTTTATTAACAATAAACCCCTGTGCATTTCAAATAAAAGTTCTCAATCCTATTGATCTCTCTACGCGATTCATCGTATGTGTGGGGTGGGACTGGGCAGGCAGGGGGAGGTTATCTTGGCATCTCATCCTTGAAGAGGAGGAATGTCAAAGTAACATCTCTGAGGTTCTGTCCATAATTGTTTTGTGCTTGCAAGAGGCAGTGAGCGATGAGAAGCTGAGCTCCCTGACTTCTCATCTCAGCGCTCACTCGTGCTGTGACCCATGCGGGGCTTGTGTTCTTTCCAAGAAATTCAGAAACACCGTTACTTCCCTAGTATGATAATTAAAGAACACTCCCCCAGAAATTATAGGTGTAATTATCTAGCTGATACAGTTTCTTGGTTTTTTTTGTTTTTGTTTTTTTTTCAGTTACAGTTGACATTGAATACTATATTAGTTTCAGGTGCACACACAGCACAGTGGTTAGACATTTATATAATTTACGAAGTGATTCCCCCTGACAAGTCTAGTACCCACCTGGCACGATACATATTTATTACAGTATTATTGACTATATTTCCTATGCTGTACTTTACATCCCCGTGATTATTTTATAACTACCCATCTGTATTTTTCAATCTCTTCCCCTTTTTCACCCAGCCCCCAACCCTCCTCCATCTGTGAGCCATCAGTTTGTTCTTTGTATCTAGGAGTCTGTTTCTGTTTTATTTATTTTGTTTTTTAGATTCCACATATACGTGAAATCATATGGTATTCACTTTTCTCTGTCGAACTTATTCCACTTACTAGAGCTGATACCGTTTTAAAGACAGAGCCACTCAAGTTTCCTGTGAGTGCTGAGGGCTCCAGAAACACTCTCTCTAGGTAATGTCATCAGACTGGGTTTAAAGGGAATGGAGGAAAATAAATGTAATTACTTCTTCTGAGTCTCTCCTGCTTTTACTCTGATCTTCTCAATAGCAAAGCCGGGGCTGCTCCACCAGTCCGACCAGCTGAAGTAGGAGTCGCTGTTCCATTTGAGCTTCATCAGCAGCAGCTCCCCGATGTCCACCTCCGTGTAAATGAGGAAGGAGTATGTCTTATTTGTGGAAATTTCGGGCCTGAATACAAAAATCAACGTATTTGGTGGTCAGTCCTGGGAATTGAGGGTTTTCTTTTTCCTCTTTTCTTCTTCCCAAGTTGTAAATAGCTTTATTGTTTGGGGTGGAAGGTATTTTAAAAATGCAAAAAGTGTCCAACAAAATCCTCAAGATGTCAATGGCATTTAGTGTATTTCAAAAGAGATCTCCACCCCTTTAATAAATTCCAACTTTTATCCTAACAATATGAACTATTTAATAAAATTTAAGAGAAAAAATCCATTAGCCAATTATTCGGAGACATTATTTTCATTTTTATATATTCTCTTTCAATTTGTATTGATCTATGAACATGTTTATTTTGTAATAATCATAGTATACATACAATTCTCTATTCTTTCTCTGTTAATTTCATAGCTTACCTTCTAACTTGCCATGTTTTACCTAGTTTTATATAATTATAGTTTTTAGAGGCTAGATCGATTTTGTTGATTTTTTTACGTCACAATTCATATAATTGTGGCCTCCGTGTTGAACACTTTGTTTCTAATCTGTGCTCTTATATATACCACTGTAATGAACATCTATTTACATATAGCTTTTTAAAAAATTATTTTTAATATTTTTTATAGGTGTCTTACTCCTCTTCTGTTCCTCAGACCAATGGTTATGGCAGGTGGCATCACATAGCAAAGCCACACGCGGGAGGTCATATCATGGACTACTCACAGGGTGAAAGGGATGTTCTCGCTCTCGGCCACAGTGCCGTACAGAGAGATCTCGAAGGCCTGGTTGGTCTGTGTGTCACTCTCGGTCCCAGAAAAATGTATCTTCACTTGGTAATGGAAGACTGTAGGGAGAAGATCGAAACAAGTGCTAATTAGTCTCGATGAATATACCACAGACCGGATTTCACTGGAGATCAAGCAGGAAGTGCTCACACACAACTATCAGTGCAGCTTAAAAAATTTCTTCAGGTCTGTGCAGTGTTCTCTACTAGAAAATTCAAGCCTTGAATTCTGCTCCCTTTCAGAAAAGCGTAGTGGATAGGCAAAGCCCAGGTGTCTCTGAGTTGCTGAGTGGTCCTAGAAAGTAGTCATCTCTGATGAGGTACTAGGGAGATTAAATCAAGTGGCCAAATTATCCATGATGCTATACCAAACATATTTGCTGTTTGTTACCGTGTCACTGTATGTGACTACGTTTCTTCACGTTTTGTGGGTATGTCTGACCTTCCTACTCTGTTTGAGCTCTTCTGGGTCAGAGGATCAAGCTCACCCTCTCTCCCCTCATCATCTAGCACTGGGTAGGTATACAGCAGTCTCACAATAAACTTGTTTCATTGAAACACCAATGAGGCTGTAAAGACTGCCAGTTCCTAAAGTGGCCTGTGTTAGAGACAGCCTCTGGAGGCAGGCACTGAACTCGAACATCTCCCTGCTCACCCATCTATTCAAAAGTCCTGAGAAGATGGGGTAGGGGAGAGGATAAGGGGACAGGCAGCAGACTTAAGACATAGCCACTACAGAGTGAGGAGAGAAAGAATTTGCAGTTAAATGGAGCCCTTGTAGGCATCACCACAGACTGGAGAAAAGTCGGGACTGCCAGAATGCCCAGAGACCCTGCCGGACACTGGGTGGCACCGTGAAGAATGTCCATGTGTCCTCTACACCTCACACATGCCTCTTCCTGCTGAGGAGTCAGGGGAACTTGTAAAGGCTTCCTTGAATTACAGGTGCTCTAAATCTCTGGGCCACCAAATGCACCCCTTCAGATTTTCACAAACCACCTTACAAATGGACGCCTCTATGAGACCCATTTCCTCTGGGGAACTGTTCTTTAATATCACTCCTTCCCTTGGACTTCCACCAACTCCACATAAGCCAGCATTTCGGATGTTAGTCCTCCTGGCCAGGTATCTGATTATCTCCTCTCCTGTCTCTCCTCGGTTCCTGTAGGTCTTGCTCTAAACAAGCTGCCATGTTTGACGTTCAAGTATGAACAAATTCATAAAGAAATGGAAATACTTAGGAGGTTTGGTATAACTCTCCCAGGAAGAGTTGTATTTTAAAATACAGGTTGTGCCCAGCTGGTGTGACTCAGTGGCTGAGCATTGACCTGTGTACCAGGAGGTTACCAGTTCGATTCCCGGTCAGGGCACATACCCAGGTCATGGGCTCGATCCCCAGTGGGGGACATGCAGGAGGTGGCCAGTTGATGTTCTCTCTCATCAATGTTTCTATTTATCTCTCCCTCTCCCTTCCTCTTTCTAAAAATCAATAAAGAAAAAAAAATTAATAAAATAAAATATAGGTTGTTCTTGCCTTCACTTAAAGTAAATTTTAGGAGCTGGCAAACTTTTTCTGTAAAAGGCCAGATAGTAAATATTTTAGACTTTGTGGGCCATACAGTCTGTTACAAGTACTCAACTCCACTGTGATGGCAGGAAAGCAGCCTTAGTTAATGTAGAAACAAATGCATGTAACTTTATTCTAATAAAACTTTATCTACAAAAGACGTGGTGGGGAGGATGTGGCCCCATGGGCCTAGTTTGCTGACCCTGGATGGATGATTTCAAATTTGCTCTGAGTCTGGTGTTTGTGGGCTGGCCCATGCTAATGGTCACAACTACAGAGGAGGGTGTCCGCAAGACTGCTGCACAGGGCAGTGCAGATGGTACACTGGACCTTACTAGCAACGAGAACTCAGAGCTTCAATAAAGTAGATCAATGCAACTTCCTACCAACAAACACAAGTGAGGTCTCAGTGTTTAGTAACATCATTTGATCAACTCTGTCGCAACAAACAGAATCAGTACATGAGATACAATGAGATGACAAAAAAATGGGATGAAATTGATTTTCCTGTTTACAGCAGTCTCGAGCTTACCTTTGTAAGGCATTTGAGAACGAGTCTTCAGGTACATTTTGCTGCTTCTTTTGGCTCTGACCTTATTGATCTCATAGCCCAAGTTGTTGCAACGGTTCTTTCTGCAGCTCAGGCAGAGCCCTTTCTCAAAGGCTTCCTTTGAATTGCACCGATAGGCCTTGCTGGGGTTTTCTTCATTCAACAGAGAGTCAATGAAGAGATGAATGGAGCGCTCATGGGAGCACTTCACGAGCTGATCTACATCTGGGGAAGAAGGGAAGCAAAGAAAATTTCAACTCTGTAGAAGTCCTCAATGAGTGCCTCATCTAACATGTCTGAAAGAGCTTAGGTGTGGTGTTAAGAATAAAATGAGCTCAGGCCCTGGCCAGGTGGCTCGGTGGGTTAGAGTATCGTCCCCTACACCAAAGGGCTGTGGGTTCGATTCTGGTCAGGGCATATTCCTAGATTTCAGGTTCAATCCCCCAGCCAGGGCACATTCAGGAGGCAACTGATAAATGTTTCTCTCTCACATAGATCTCTCTCTCTCTCTCTCTTTCCCTTTCTCCATTCTCTCTAAAAAACATATCCTCAGGTGAGGATTTGAAAAAAAAAGAATAGCCCTGGCCAGTTTGGCTTAGCAGTTAGAGCATCAGTCTGTGGACCGAAGAGTCACTGGTTTGACGGCCAAGAGCATGTACGTCAGTTGTGGTTCGATCCCCAGCCCTGGTTGGGGTCGTGCGGGAGGCAACCAATCAACGTGTCTCTCTCTCCCTCCCTCCCTCCCCACTCTACCTGAAAATCAATGGAAAAATATCCTCAGGTGAGGATTAAAACAAAAGAATAATAATAAAATAAAAAGAATAAGATGACTTCAGAATCTAGTCCCATGATTTTTTATTGTATGTCCTATTTAAGGAGATATTCTTGGTGGCAGCTTCTCACCTGCCTCCAATACTGTCAAAGTTGCAAATTTATAGGGAACTTGTGGCTTTACTGCTGGCTTATATTTGTTTAGGAAGCTATGATAACAGGTATCCAAAACAGAAGTTGATTTTTCCCAGTTTATCATATCCTTCTCTTATATTTAAAGCTTGTAATACTGCCAGACGCTTCTAGAAACCACATCATCAGGACATAATGATTAAATAAATAGTATTTTGTCATAGATGCTATGGAAAATTCAAGGGTTTTGTTACTATTAATGATTTTTACATTAAACAAATCAGAAATAATCACAAAGTCATAAGATTATATCTATTAGCATAAATTTTCATAATTATTAAAAATAGTAATGTTATGCTGTAAATTTTATACTACGCACAAGTCTTGAGCATATTATCTACAGGTGTATCCCACTGTCCACAAAGTATGTAAAATTCCCTTAAATAATAAATTTAACACAAGCTAGCATAATTACTAAACTAAATATTAAGCCAATATTATATTTTCTTCTTAAAATTTTGGAATATCTGTTGTTAGAGAATGGTGATTTGTTTTTGATTTGTGCATCTCTTTAAAATGCTGACAAAAGACATGTGGACTAATTAACATGTCCCCTATTTTTTGTAAATTTCAAAATAACTCTACTGGTTTTGCAACTGCACTCAAAGTGTGATAACATGTGGCCAGTTAACATTTTATGCTGCTATTAGCAAAGGCAGTGGAGTTTCCTTGTCTAAACCACACCCGTCTTGTCCTCTGTCCCTGCCAGCGCAACGCCCCATGTGTTCGAGATCATAATACAAGCAAGACGGAATGCCTGACCGACCACAGGAAGGTGACCATGCCGAACATGACACTACATCAGTAACATGACTTGGCTAACTGGGTATATAGAGACAACATACTTGTGGAGAATGGTAGAACACAGGGTCAATAAGCGTTAAGAACACAACTTCTGTTTAATTAACTTCTAAATCATATTTACCTCCAAGGCCTCTCTCTGCAATCACACGAATAGCTTCCCCAATGTTACAGCCCGGTTGAAAAGTGCCTCCATTAGGGTAAATGTCAACATGTCCTACTGGTTTCTGGATTCCGATACTTCGGCCAGGTGACCCTCTGGTGAATGTGTGTAAGACATCTACAAAATCTGCATCATCGGGAGACAGGCGACTTGGAGCTTCTGCATACTCAAAGTTAGGTCCAGCTGGATCTAGGCCTTGATGGGGAAAAAAAAGGCCTCACAGATTTTTAAATTCCTATTGCTTTTAGTCTCCATCAGTTCACCTTCGCATTCCGTTCCTCAATTTGAATGTAACTGGCAGCCACACATACTCTTATTAGTTCCTATTCAATAGTGATTGGATCTTTAAATTTCTGAGTCAGAAAAGTAGACTTAGCTCCCTCTAAAATGGAATTTGAGTTTTAAACTAGCTATGAATTAGTAATTTATACTCGAGATGACTTGATTTCCTTTTGTAAATTATTTTTGAAGCTGGTGAGAGGCCTTTAAACTGTGGTAGGTTCTTTCTTCCTCTCTACATATGCCAAACCATCTGTTTATTACCTCTGGCCTAGATGAATATTTTCCCTTTTCCAAATGGTGTTGGTCCTTTTTCATTTCCCAGTAGTCACGTGAGGGGTGACATATGGGCAACACATTCCCAAAGCCCGGGGCAAAGGGAGGAGGGACACAGGTGGGCTCTCTGTGCTTAACTCTGCTCTGTTCAATTCCGCCAGTAGATGGTCGCCCACGACAGCGAGAGCCTACACTGTCTCTCTCTCCAGAAAAGAGCCCTCCCATGAGATAACCAAGTGGCTGGGCATACCCAGAAGAACACATCTGACAAACATTTCTATTCTCTTTCAGAATGACAGGCATCTCAACTCTTTTGTTATAAGATGAACAGCATAGCCTTCTTACCTGTAATCCTGTTGACCTTCTTATTGGTCAGACTTCCTGCGACGCCAGCAGCATGGGCTCCAAGGCTGTATCCCAAGAGATGGACATTGTCCAGTGGATAGTTAAATTCCTCCTTTGGAAAAGAGAAAGAAAAAAGCATTCTTACAGTTCTTTGCAAAAGATCAAAGCTAAAAGAAATAAAATGAATATAGGCAATAATGAAAACTAATTCAACTTATTTTAATTTTGTGTTACAGATAAGAAAAACAGTGTTGAGATTTTTCTCTTTCCTTAACGACAGATTTGAATTAGAAAGTTTTCAATACATCTGAAAGTGAAATGTATGGAAATCTTAATTTCCATACATATGAAAATATATGTATGCATGCATATGCATGTATAGAGTTATATAGAGACATACATATAAGTATAGATATACATATGTATACATATAGATACACACACACACGCGCACGCACACACACACACACACACACATAAATTTAACTTCAACCCATTATTCCCTACTCTAAATACCCCTGCATCACTTTATTCTTTAAGGTCAGCCAAGCGATGACTAAAAATCAGAAAATATTACAGGGAAAGGGACCACAAAACCACAGACACATATGGTCCAACCTCCTCATTCAACAGATGAGAAGCCTGAGGCCCAGGTGGTGATCTGATTTGCCCAGGTTCATTGTACTGGTTAGCAAAAGAGTCAATGGTCAACTTTCCAATGGTCAGTCCAATAAACATAGCTTATTGTTTACCTCCAAGCATCTGAATTGTTATTTGGCCCTGTCCAAGAATTAGCTTCCTTTCAACTCGAAGGAACTTTTCAAAGGTAATTTTCAGAGTATAATCTCAGAGAATCATTTGGGTAAATCTGGCAGCTAAGTTGGAACTCCTGACTCTAACCACCTCACATCCTACAAACTGTCCCTGCCTTGTTCTTCCTAGCTCAACTCCATCACTCCCCTAACCTGCAACAAAAATCTGGACCCTTAATCCACCCTAAGGAATAAATACTATTAATATTTTCATCAAGCCCTGGCAGGTTCAGTGGTTAGAGCGTCGGTCTATGGACCAGTGAGTCGTGGGTTCAATTCCGGTCAAGGGCATGTACCTCAGTTGTGATTCGTCCCCGGCCCTGGTTAGGGTCGTGAGGGAGGTAGCCACTCAATGTGCCCATTTCATGTCGATGTTTCTTTCTCTTTCTCTCTCTCTCTCTCTCTCTCTTCCTCTCTCTCTGAACAAAAAATGAAAAAAATATCCTCGGCTGAGGATAAAATATATGTGTATGTGTGTGTATGTATGTATGTATATATATATATATATATATATATATATATATGTAGAGAAATATATATATATATATATATATATATATATATTTTTTTTTTTTTTTTTTTCATCAAGAAGGTCAGTATCCCAATAGGTCAAAGCCAGGATAAAATTTCATGTGCCAGCCAACTGGTAGGGAAGGATTGGCCTGAACATGACATCTTTCCTATGCCCAGAAACAACAAGCTTTTCTTTGTTTTGCCCAGTAAGTTCTTGGTCTCAGCAAATCTATTCACTATGAAAATATCAAAGGGCAGAGCAGGGTAGGATTGTGTCTTGGATTTATAGTTTTATCATTCTTATCATAATGCTGCTTTTGGATAAAAAATAATGTTGGCATCCATCCTGAAGATTTGAATTGCCCCAGAAAATACCAATATCTGAGTGAAAAGGAACAAAGACCAGCCATTTGTCCAGCTCTGGCCAAGAGATCTGTTTTGGTTACATATGGCTTCCCCCCCCCCCCCCCCCGTCTTACCGCCATCCAGTTGATAAACGTGGCCACATCCTTTCCCACCAGCTTGGTATAGCCCGCAGACACCGGGTAGTGCTGCTGGGCCCGGGACAGCCAGTCCACCACGATGACATTGGAGTCGGGTTCCCTCTTGTACAGGGCAGCCACAAGTTTGGGCACCCAGCTCTCATACATCCCTGTCACCTGGAGAATGATACAAGCTTTGTTAAAATACCCACCTACAGCTTGTCACAGATATGTCAGCCCAATATATTACATCAAGTAGAAAAAAAATCTACAAGGAAACTCATAGGCTCAGACAGAAGAATCAAAACACACAAAAGACTGTTTAGAGACTCGTAGCTGCCCCTCCTGAGACAAAGCTGAGTATGCCCAAAGCAGGGTGTGCTGAGCTACGGGATGGCAGACTGTGGCTTACCGCGATTTAAATTTTAAAAGCACATTTATAATTCAGTAAAACATCAATAATTTAAACTATTAAAAGAAAAGATCAATATGAACAGGTTAAAATTTTGTAGTAGAATTACAGACTATATTTTAAAAATCAGTTTCAATACCATCAATTAGGCTAATAAATGTTTCCCAACAGAATTATTTGAGGGGATATAAATGCCCTTTTTGCTTATAAAGAATTACATACAACATTTGATGTGCTAATGAAAAAAATAGTTTTAAGTACACTAATCTCTCCTAACAGATGGTAAATTTGCTGAGCAATCTCTTTCTTAATATATAACAAAATGATCAACTTCAGCTCAGACTTTTTCACAAGTCTCTCAAATTTTTCATCATCAACGTGGAAATTAAAGAGGTTTAATAGGCACATCTCCCTAATTCTTAGATAGGTCCTGTTTGAAGGTAAGCAGACTGCCAACAATAATTCTTTGCTTCTTGTTAATAAAGTCCCCAAATTCAAAGTCAAAAGAACTACAGGATCCTCAAATTAACTCTATTTATGTAGAATTTTGATTACGTTTTCAGAGAGTAGACATTGGACACCTGTGGGAAGATGCACACTTTGAAATAATAGAATCATTTAAAAACTGTAGATTATAAAATTGCACACCATCCTGCCATAAACTTGTACACAGCAACAACCTGATTTAAATCCCCAGATCTACCCACCCTTCAAAGACCTGAGAGCAGACCATCTTGTCAAGGTCAGTCACCATGTACTCAACAAAGACGATTCTGAAATCTCTGTGAAAGAAGCTTTTTCAGGGGAGACCTGTGAAGCCTTTAATCTAAGAGTAGTTCTAATAGAAACAAATAGGACTCAAAATTTCAAACCAAGGGACTTAATTTGGAACTTTTATTTATATGGTGGGTTCTTTCAGATTTTTGTTTTATTTGTTTTCTAGACTAGACTATCTAAACATGATCGCTGGCTCACTCCTGAACTCACCACAATTTTGCACCTCACTGCTGTGCCCTGTGGTACAAAACAGCAGGCCTGAGAATCAGAAGACCTTGGTCCAAACCCCAGCTCTTCACTGACTACTTCTATGAACGGCCTAAGCACTGCTCGAACCTTACGAGGCCACCTACAGAACCAATGGGCCAGACTCGGGTGACCTCAAAGTTACCCTCCACCTCATACATTTCTTCTTGGATCATTCTGGTTCCCAATCTTCTTGTAGTGATAAAATTCCAACTCTATAGCTATTTTAAGCATGAAGAGAAAACAAAGAAGAAAAAATACAAAAGTGATGTTGGCCCATTAGGACTGTCATTAAATCTTTGAACACATCTCAGCGAGTCTGCTCCAAGTCTGGGTGCAGCCTGGGTCTTTGAGGGAACCAGCTGGAACACCCACCTTGCACAGAACCTGAGACCTTGGTCCTGGCCCCTTCTCCTCTATTCGAGATGAGAGGTCACCCTATGCAGCTGCCCCTCAAGAGAGGAGGATGTCATTTCTGCAGAAAACAATGTTAATCCCTCCTCCTCGCAACCAGGGGTGCAGACCTCCCACCTCACAGTGAGAGCCCTGTGCCTACAAGACGGTCTGTGAAACCCTAGCAGGTGGCAAAACCCCAGCACAGCTGTGTCTAACTGCCCTCTGAGATGTGCCCCGAGCACACGGCATGCTTAGCATTCCTTTGGGTTTCTCATGACGAAGCTGCAGTCTCCTCATGTCCCTTAGTCCCCAGCCTTCGCATCGCTGAGCAGTCTACCTCAGTCTACCTCAGACAAGGCAGGAAAATACTGTGTGCTCTAACGCCTCATTATAAGTTTTTCTGTGCTATCGGTGTTTCCAAATGAGACCACCTGTCAAAGAGCAAGCAACCCAACTTACTCCTCCTGTGACCGATCCTCATCTTCACTGTCTATCAGCTAACCTAATCCTTTTTAAATTCAACATATATACTGTAACTGACCCAAAAGGGTGGGAAATCCAAGTAAGAACCCACCTTCTTCCATCTGAAAAGGTGTTGTTTTCTAGGTTTTTCTTTTGAAGTTCCTTAAATCAGTACCAATTTTGTATTAATCAGACACACAGCTGAACCCTCCTTCCCTCCTGCACCAGGGTGTCCAGCTGCAGCAGCCGGGAGCTCACTGAGGCAGGACGCGGTCACATGCAGCATGGCTGGACTGTGCAGACAAAGCAGCTCTATGCAGGGAAACTCAGGCCCCAGCCAGCGGCCGGCCCCCAAGCCCAGGCTCTCGCAATGTCAGGACCACGATGTCAGAATACGAGAGGGCTTAGTGGACAGAGGACCAGTGAAAGAAATGAGCACCATCTACTGATCCTGGGCTAGCTGTGTCCTCTTAGCATGAAACAAAAAGAAGAAGGAAAAAAAAAAAAAACCCATGTTTTTAAATAATTCCTAAAGTATAAAATTCTCTCAGGGATAAGATGTCAGATATTTAATGTATTCCTGTCATATACCTGTTTGTTTCGTTCAAACTTTTTGAAAAGTATTCAAAGCCAAGTTCTATAATATAACCAAAATGTCTCTAACACCACCAAAGATTACTTTTTCCTATTTAACTCTTTTAAAAGGATTTGTTAGGAATTTGAATGTGTATATTTATCAAAAGATATATAATTTAATATATTAACTATATTTTATTTTATTTTATTATTATTTTTTTATCCTCACCCGAGGACATTCTTCCATTTTTTGTTCAGATAGAGCGGGAGGGAGAGAGAGGAAGAGAGAGAGAGAGAAACATCGACATGAAGGGACACATCAAGTGGCTGCCACCCACACGACCAACCAGGGCCGGGGACAAACTGCAACCGAGGTACGTGCCCTTAGCGGGAACCGAACCCGGGTCTCTCTGTACTGCAGGCCGACGCTCCAACCGCTGAGCCAAGCCGGCCAGGGCTAACTATATTTTATTTTATTAAAATAAACATCCATGTAAATTCTATTAGAAGTCACCTTCATCTCCATAAAAGTTTTAGCAATTATCTTTTACTATCAATAACAGTTGGGACTAGAAGTATGTCAGTCTTTAGAACTTAGTATCCATTACCATATTTGCAAGTTCTGACATAAAGAAAAAATATTATCTCTTTAATTATCCATTTTATTTAAGTCCTTTTTAATAAACAATTAAATCTGCCCCGGCCGGTTTGGCTCAGCAGTTAGAGCATCAGCCCGTAGACCGGAGAGACCGGGGTTCGGTTCCTGCTAAGGGCATGTGCCTCAGTTGCAGTTTGTCTCTGACCCCGGATAAGGTCATGTGGGTGGCAGCCAGTCGATGTGTCTCTCTCGTGTTGATGTTTCTCTCTCTTTCTTCCTCCCTCTCTCCTTCCCCCTCTATCTGAAGATGGATGCAAAAATGTCCTCGGGTGAGGATAAAAACAACAACAACAATGAAATCTGCTCACTAGGGATTTAAAATATTAAAAATCAACGTCAGTACTTAAGTAAGAACTGCACCACATAGAGTGATATCTGGCATAGTTACAGAGGACTAGTTTATTCATATTTTTAAAAAGTAAATTTAACTGCAGTTTTTACCTTTTCTAATCATCTTGCATGGCAGTTTCCTGGCTAGCCCTCTTTCATGTATAGAAAAGCTCCCTAAAGTTTATCATTGGAGAATGTTGGGAATGGAAAAATGTCTAGTCCAATCTCTTTGTTTTACAGATCAGTAAACTGAGGCCCAGAGATGAGAAGTGGCTTGATCCACATCACAGAGTTGGAAAAGGGCAAAACCAGGACGGGAACCAACACCTCCTCACCGCCCTCCAGCCTCGTCTCACTCTCACAGGTTGTCTTCCCCAGGAGAGAAACTTGGGTGATGCGCTGGACAAATCAGGATCACCACAGCTTTCCCCCAGTGCCCCAGAAGGATAGCCCACATACCGCTGTGCACTTGGACAAAGCCTTGTTTCCCACCTCACAGGAACCGCTGGTTCAAAGGTACCAACCAGGTACCAAGGTAAAATGAAGGTCAGCCCTGTCTGAGCTAAGTACTCATGAATCTGTGACTTCAGATTCCACAGTCCCCAGTCTGAGCCAGAATCATCTTTACTCAATTTTAAAACAACATCATCACAAAGCAAGCAAAAGTATGGGATGTGGAGACCATCACTGGGCTCCCAGCAACCAGGGTAAGCCGGCCAGGACACCAAGTCCACCCCAATCGCTCCTTCCTGAAGAGCCTCTCTTACCGTCCAGCCATGGACCACCACAAAGGTTTTGCTGCTGTGGTTAAAGTGGCAGTGGGCCACGGACTCTGCCACTCCGGGGATGAGGTGGCAAGTGTCCTCAGCTGTGTCTTCGGGGGTCCTCAGAGCAAATTTACTTTCAATGTCTGTAAAATCTTTTTCTCCCATAATTTCTGAAAAGGAAAAATTGGATAGAAAGTTAATTGGAGGACTGTTTTTTGAAAATTTGATGGAATGGTCAGTATATTTTAGGTTTACAAGCAACCAACAGCAATACTATTTTTGTTTATAAAGTTTTAGAAAAAGATGAATGTGGATTGCAAGAGAATGACTGATTCTCCAGTGGTGATCAAAGTCAACAGAGACTGCCTTAAAATAACTGTGAGTTAAGCAATATTGATCTCTCCTATATTTTCCATCCTCTCCTTCAGTCAGGGTGTGTAACTGCTATTTGAAATTCCTTGGTAATTCAATCTTCTCTCAAAATATGAATTAGCCCAGGTCATGCTGCTAGTAGTGAGAAAGAGTGAGAACCAGAACCCAGTGTCTTGGTTCCGGTTCACAGCTCATTATCTCAGAGAACATTGGCTCATGGCTCTCACATTGTATAGTTCCACTGATTTCATATATTATTTCACCCCCTTTAAATCTCTGATTATATCAAAGGAATGTTTTCCCACAACAGGATACAATAAATCTTATTTGAGGGAAGATGGCTTCCTTTTCACCAGCACACTTTTTAAAACGTTAGCAATAAGAAAAGTTGGCAACATGAGGAAGCTTTTATATGGATTGGTCTCACCCCCATGGTAAGATGCAACAGTTCAGGATATGTTCAGAAATCATTTAGTGGGTTGTTCAGAATGCTATGTATGAGCCATGGTTAACTCTTTCCCCAAATATTTATTTTTCCATTTATGTCTTTAGTCTTCCACAAACTCAAAGCTTAAAAAACTACCGCAAAACTGGTTTTGGAGAGAATCCACTTTAGTTCTTCATAATTAATCCCAAAATAAATAAGGAGAGAAAGAGAACTTTAGCCTATTTCTCTCTGGACAATAAATCTAAATGTTGATAAATCTTCACAGGGTATTTGTAAGCAGTACATATCACATCACGGTGAACACTTGAAGTAAACTGTGTTACAGATAACATCAGACTGTTTTACAAAGCAAACACAAAGGGAAGTTATATTAGAAGAAAATATGTACTTTCTTGTCAAGTCAAAATTAACCTGTCTATTCACCATAAGAAAGGAATAGCTTGTAGATTTCAGATTTCACTATTTAAAACTTTTGGAAGATAAATAACTGAGGCTGTTTAGAAATATTTCTAATTCCTTAACTTAAACTTACTCTTTGCATAACTCAAAGCTGAAAAGCCATAATTTTATTTTATTTATTTATTTATTTATTTATTTATTTATTTATTTATTTATTTTGGTATGTGTCCCCAGCAGGAACCGAACCCAGGACTCTCTGGTCCGCAGGCCGACGCTCCAACCACTGAGCTAAACCAGCCAGGGCTGAAAATCTGTAATTTTAAATAACATTGCAAAAATGAGGCACAAAATAAAAATAAGAATGATATCATACCCAGAAAGACAAGCATTCAAACCAAACTTAGATTTATCAGAGGACTGGATAACATTTTCCTTTTTAATTATTTTTCAAAATTCCTAAAACAATGCTGTGGTTACTTCTTGCTAAGTGATTTATTATATGTAACAAGGTGCTCACACACACACACACAATCTCTAGAACCTACACATTCTAAGATAATTTATTCAAATAAGAGATTGATATTTAAAGCTTTCTTTTTCACTTCACATATTAAAATTGCACTTGCAATGCACTCATGCATCAAGAACACACTCTGCTTTTCATCTTATTTGAAGATGCAGGTCTTCCTTTTTCTTCCTAACCAGAAAACACGCTAGTGGCCTTATTATTTACCTGACAATGGAAAAATATATTGTAGATTTTTAATCTGATTCTGTTTTCAATATGCAAGCAGTTCTTTTATTGTTAGAAAGTACTTTAGAAAATTTAAAACTAAATTCGTTTTCCTCTCCCACGTCTCTTCACATCAAATAACTCATGCCTCCTCTCTAAGGATCTCATTTTAACATGTTCAATTAGCAGTCTTTTTAAAGCAGGAAGAAAACCTGGCAGATAGATCTCACTCACCACCTATTACCAAACTGATATTTAAGACTCTTGCCTTACACAACTTCAGAGGACACCACTCACTTTTAGTCACGTTTTCCCTAGAATTAGGCAACATGGTGGCCCTGGTGTTGCTGGTGATTTTGAAATGATTAAGAATATTCTCTGAAATTACTAAGACTGGCTTTGTACATTCACACACACACACACACACACACACACACACGTCTATTCAACCCATAGATCCTCTACCAGATTACCTGTACAGCTCATGGAGAGCTCCAATTTCCCACAACCAAGATTTAATGTTGGATATATACCTTGCAAAGAAAAATAATAGGAAATTCATACATTCTCAAGCAAATTTGTATTCGGAGACCTTTATTTCACTCTCTAAGGAAAGTATTTTTCAAGTTATAGAAAGCACATGAAGCCTTTGACAGGAAGATACTACCACTCTATATGCTATGTGATGTTTTCAAGTCTATGTCAGTTCTATAAGTGAAATAAAAAATGACTGTTTTACCTTCCCTCTGATATTTTGATAGGAATTTTCACACCACGGGTGTTTGTAACCCCTCAAGGATGTCTCAGCATTCCAAAGACGAATGTGCTTTACACATCTCTATTACCCCTCATGTAACAGACTTAGGCCACGCAGAGCTAGGGAGGAAGATGGATCCTGATTGTGAGCATTCAATATGCAATATACATTGGGATTATGCCTGGCTGGCAGATGAACTGGTATGACTTCATTGTTACTAAGGAAATCACTGTTTCCATACATGGAAATTATATTAGTGATTCTGCATTTATTCTTTTAAGGAGATAAGAACCTTTTACCAGGTCCCCTTGGAAATTAAAACCATCTACAATAGTAAAAAAGGGGTATCTAAGGTGTATTTCTTTATAAGAACCTCCATCCTGAATTCAACTTATCATATCAGCACCACCATGCCAATCCAGCCCCATCAGGCATGTCCTTAATCAAGCACTAAGGGGAAATTTTGGAGTGCCAGGCAAATGACTAGTTAATGCATTCCGTGACTATGTAATCTGTATTCCTAAATGCATAACTAAACATCTAAGTGTGTACATAAAGACAAGGAATATGTCTTAATGTAGATAATAACTCACAGAGATAAAATTAGGTTGAGAAGTCAAAGCACTTTAAGGATAAATTTAGAGAGGGTACATTTTTGTTGCTAGAAAAGGAAAAGCATGGCACATCCCAGAAAAGATATTCTAAAGGCAGATCACTGTTATCAGATGAATTTGATTGACATTTATAAGAAGACATTAGGTACAAGAGCTCAATTATAATGCAATTCTCTTTGAAGTTTCTACTTTCTCTCTGTCTCTCTCTTTCTCACACACACACATACACACACACTGTCCTAAAGGACCACATCAGTAATTAATCTGCTCTCTAAAACTGATGGTCACAATTATTGACTCAGGCAGCTTCTGCAGAATGCCAAGAAACAAGTTGAATTGATGAAAATAAAAAACAAGTTTGATGGTGGCGGGGGAATCTATATTGTTATCTAAAATAGAGGTAATAAATTGTACAGCCCAATTTCTCCTCCAGGAATAAAGCAAGAAAGGGGGGCTGAGCTAAAAATACACTGCCTGAAAGTAAAATATTCCTTTGTAACTCTTCCCCAGCGCCTGGCTCACACCTTTCAATATAGCTATTAATCAATCAATCCCTTGCTGAGCTCAGCTCCAGGGCAAGTGGTTTCTGCTATATTGCTGTCATCACCCAACATATTTAACTCAGATGTTAGCCTGGAAATTCACTGTGCCCAGTCAATTCACTTCAGCTACTGAGCACCGACCCATATGCTCAGCTCCTGGTTCTTCAGGTTTCCTGACGAGGCCACACAGAGACTGTGGTGGCCCCGCGAACAAGGAAGCTGAGGGCAGTGCCTCCTATCCTCGTGTTCTTCTTAGAATGAACTGGAGAATGAGTAAGTAAAGTCAGAGTCCAGAGGAGGTACATTCCCTCACATCTACACCTTTCTTCTCCGAAACTCTTACTTTCTTAGATGAACTCACTTGGAGGAGAAAAGGAGCAGAAAGTTGCTGTGCTAGGAGAAGCATAATAAAGGGTGGGGGGGGGGGAGAGAAGGCAGGATGAGAGGGATCATTTCAAGTCTACTTAAAAATGATCCCAGCTGGTGTAGCTCAGTGGACTGAGCATCCTCCCATGCACTGAGAGTCCTACTTCCATTCCCGTGTGAGAGCACATGCCTGGGTTGCCGGCTGGATCTCCAGTAGGGGGCGTGCAGAAGGCAGTGGATGGATGTTTCTATCTCAATTAACTCTCACATCAATGTTTCTATCTCTCTCTCCCTTCCTCTCTCTCTAAAAAAAATCGATAAAAACACACTTTTAAAAAGTGATTCCTCAAGCCCTGACCGGTTTGGCTAGGAGGTTAGAGTGTCAGCCCTCGAACCAGAGTCACAGGTTCAATTCTGGTCAAGGGTACCTCAGTTGCGGTTGTCCCCGGCCCTGGTCAGGATCATTTGGGAAGTAACCAGTCGATGTGTCCCTCTCACATGGATGTTTTGGATGTTTCTCTCTCTCTCTCTCTCTCTCTCTCCCCCCACTGTCTTCCTCCCTCCCACTCTATCTGAAGATAAACAGAAAAATATCCTCAGGTGAGCATTAAAAAAAAACAAAAAACACGACTTCTCAATATATTTACAGCCAGGAAAAGCACGCGTTGTTTAAAATACAATTTAATTAATTAATCACCTAAGTATCCATTTAAATCAAAAGTAACAATTACAGGGACCTAAGAGAAATCTGAGTTTGGTCCAAACTCCTCTTTTAGAGTTGAGGAAGATAAACCTGGAGAGGTGACAGTGACTAGCCCAGGAATTTAAGGTCCTGAATCTCTAAGGGAGCCTAGCAAAACCGTGAACTCTGGATGTAACGTATCTGTGCATGCTTTATGGTAAAAGTAACACTATGCTGTGCTGTACTTTTTAATATAAGAATTTGGAGTTTGTTCCTACTATCTTCTTGGATCGTGTCAAACACTATAAGGGGAACCTGCCACGACACAAGATGTTTAAGACGTTCTAAGTGAACCTCTAGCGTTCTCAAACTGATCTGACAGAAAAGATGCTTGTCTTTTTTATTCAATTCAGCTTTGATAGAATCTACATTTTTTAACCAGACAAAAATTTTCTTTTACACAATTCAGAAATGAAATAAACTTTCAGCTTCAATAAAAGTCACACTCAACTATAACTTGAAGCTCTGTGCCCGCGCCCCCTGGGAGGACAGCTGGGTACCACCACGCTGGGGAAAGCACAGAAAACGCTGCCTCCTTTCGTGACTTGCTTCAGTTGCCTTTTGTTTTTTTTCTTTTTCTGTATTTTATTTATCTATCATTAAAGAAAAAAAAAAACACAGCAGCAAATTCTATGTTGGCTACAGAAAGACAAAACAGTTCATCCTTTTTAGTTGTTATATGTTTGGGCAAAATGAAATTCGCATCTGGCCTCCAACGCCTTAACCGTGGCGAACAGGCGGGTCCCGGGCAGTGTCTGGGGTTCAACCGCGGCCCCCAGGCGGCTCCCAGGGTGGGGCTCAACTAAGAGGTCAGTAAGAATAACCAATGCAAACCTGGCAACCCCCAAGTCCACGTTTTCAGGAGGGTCACCTCTTCGCTAGATTTGCTGGGCGCTAAGAAAAACCCAGCGTGCAAGAGAGGAGCCGCTGGAGAGCTTCCCAGCGCCCTAAGGCAAGCAAGACGCCGTGTCCCCGGCCTCAGCGCCACGCATCCCGGTCCCCCACTCCCACCTCAACACAGAGAGTAAGTGTCCTGTGCTTCTACCATGCAGGAACACCCCCTACCCCCACCCCCGCCTTGGGCCGGCTTCTTCAGAAGGAGCCACTTTCTGCCAGAGCTCCGCGGGCAGGGGCTGAGGCTCAGCCTCGGCCAAGCCAGGGTCACCTTGGCCCACGTGCCTCTCATTCCAGCCCCCCACCCCCCACCCCGAGCGGGGATGTTACTGCTGATCACTGCCATCTGAGCCCTGCCTCCCGCGTCCCGCCCCTCACACTCCCCCTGTCCCTTTCTGGCTGTGCCCGGGCGCCCGGGAACACGACCTCAGCGACCTCAGCGGGAGCGGAGGGTCAGCGCGGGAACCTGGAAGGGCGGGAACTGCGAGCCGCCCAGCTAGATCGGAGGGAGAATTCCCTCCCTGCCTCTGCCGGACCCCACCCCGGGACTTCTCCAAGCAGCGCTCGGGCTACGAGCGTCCTCGGTGCGCGTCCTCGGTGCGCATCCTCGTCCCATTCCGACTTCCTGCCTCCTAACCTCCCGACGCGTGGAAGTGGCCACTGAGCCGAGTCTGCAGGCAGAGGGGAGTCCACGCGCAAAACTTACTGCTGGCGGCGGCCACCCCTCCGTGGGAGGAGGTCAGACTCTGGAGCCATATGCCCAAAACAACCAGGAGCAGCGCTTTGCTCTCCATCTCCGGCTTTGTTCCTCCGTAGGAACTACAGGGCACGGTCGGGAGCGCGGACAGACTGATGGACCACGGAGCCGGAGGCGGGAGCAGGCGGGAGCTTCGGTTCTGTGCGGGTCAAGTTGCCTTTTAAAGGGGAGAGCGGGGCAGCTCAAAGTGGCAGGTTTCCTCGGAGGAAGAGGAATCGAGTCTGACACTGTTTCCACTCCACGGCTGCTTAAGTGACTGGAAATATGCAAATAAACCTCATCATAAGTTGGGGGGAGGGCCCTATATTCACTTCCAAATGTTTGAGCAAACTGTAATGAAGATCAACCTTGACAGCCAGAAGAGGGTGAAAGAGCAGAAGGGATTTGAGTTTCCTATTCGCTTTTCCTAAGGGGTCTGGCTCTCCAGGGCCCCCTGAACAAGCACCAAACACAGGTTTATATGGATTTATATTAAATACTCCGCAAACACCAGTTTTCCAAGGAGGGGAAGTTAAACTGTTAAACTCCATTTGGTCCAAACTTAAACCCACTCCTCTTTTGATGGATCCTATTTGTAACTTGCACGGTTTATTTTCTCCAGAATTCTCCTGGACAATGTCAATTTAGGGATCCATGAACACACACTGTTCTGTAGCTTGTGCTTGATATAAAATACCAGCTTGTAGCTGGTATTTTAACATTGGCAAAATGTATTAGCTGATGTGGTGAAGAAAAGCCCTCTTATTATAACTAGTTTCTAAATTTTCCCTCATGCAAATTATACCCAAACTCATCAAAAAAATGCAAGTATCACTTTTTATCCTTAGAGGCAGAATATCGAGGTCAAATAATCTAAAACTATTGTTATGCAAAGTAAAAGAAGCCAGTCACAAAAGACACATATTGTAAAAGATCCACAAATAGACAACTCTTACAGACAGAAAGTAGATTAGTGGTTGCCTGGAGCTGGGGAATGGGGGAGGGGAAGTATGGAGAAGTTTTGGGGGAATGGTGATGAAAATGTTTTATTTACTTATTATTTTGTTTGTTTTTCTTTATTGATTTTAGAGTGGGGGGAAGGGAGGGGGAGAGAGAGAGAGACATCAATGAAAGAGAAACATTAATTGTCAGCCTCCTGCATGCCTCCCACTGGGGATCAGGCCCACAACCTGGGCATGTACCCTGCCCAAGAATGGAGCAGCAACTTCTTGGTGCATGGGTCGATGCTCAACCACTGAGACACACTAGCCGAACAATGAAAATGTTTTAAATTACGTTATGGTGATTGTTGTACAACTGGGTAAATACACTAAAAAATTGATTGCACACTTTAAATCAATTAACTTTATGGTATGTAAATTATATCTTAATAAAGCTATTAACAAAGATACATTGAGGAATGCAGTTAAAATAAGAAAAATGAAATCATATTGGAAATTGTATTTTTGGCCAAAATGCCGAGAATACTATCAAATATCTTTTTTTTTTTAATGTGGATATTTTTCCATTTATCTTCAGATAGAGTGGGAGGGGGATTGAGAGAGAGAGAGAGAGAGAGAAAGAGAGAGAGAGAGAGAGAGAGAGAGAGAGAGAGAGAGAGAAATGTAAGAGAGACAGGTAGACTGGTTGCCTCCCTCCCACATGACCCCAACCAGGGCTGGGAGAACCGCAACCTAGGTATGTGCCCTTGACCAGAATCAAACCCAAGACTCTTTGGTTCCTGGGCCAACGCTCTAACTACTGAGCCAAACCAGCCAGGACTCAAACATCTTTTTAGTGTAAAGGATTTGCATTAGCTATAAAGGACAATTAACTCTTTTTCGTTTGATTTTTTGGTTAATCCTCACCCAAAGATATTTTTCCATTGATTTTTTTTTTTTTTTAGATAGAGTGGAAGGGAAGGAGGGAGAAAGAGAGAGAGAAACATCCATGTGAGAGAGACACATCTTGGTTGCCTCTGGCACAACCCACACAACCTATCAAGGGTGAGGAATGAACCTGCAACCCAGGTACTTGCCCTTGACTGGGAATTGAACCTGGGGCCCTTCTGTCCTGGGGCCAAGGGTCTAACTTCTAAGCCAAACCAGCCAGGGCCAATTAACTCTATACTGTCCACTTTATATCTGAAAAATAGACTAAAAAAAATCAAAATATCTAATTCACTGTTTTATATGAGATTATTTATCTGAATATCTTTAATGCTTCCTTCTACTCCTCCCTCCCTCCACTTCTCTTTCTCTGTGTCTCTCTTTCACACACACATACACACACACACACACACACAGACTACATTTGTATGTCAGAAAGATAAAAGGCCATACTATTTAAACTATTTAAACAAAAATGAAATACACTGATAATATCCAAATCATTCAAAGTGTGCTATTCTGAATACTAGATTTCTATTTTTAAATTGAGAAATTAAATGGCACAGCATAATATATTGTCTTGTATTGAGATTATTAAATAATATATTGTGCACATTCATTCTATCCTCCAAAGTATGGAGAAATTTTGAAACCTGCCAAAAATTAAACCCCTCAGAAAAACTTGAGAAATAAAGAATGACCAAGCAAGGGATGAGTAACTGTGGTGTGGCAATCCTGCAGAAACTACATAGTAAATTTTAACTTAAAAAAAAAATGGCACGAGAAGAGTACAATTGATTGTGTGTACTCAGGCATAAATGACATAAACAGAAGTGCAAAATGCCTACTATCGTATATATTCATGCAGCCTATTTTCACAAATAAGTTTTTAAGTTATTTGATAATACAACCAAACCAATCTGCTCTTCTGTGCCTTTCAGAGAACTGCAAGAAGATTGCTAAAGAGAAGTCTGATGCTTACAATGTATGTTTAAAATGATTTTCCAGGTTAACAGATAACAAAATCGAAAAAGTTGGGTGATTATTATTATTATTTTTTCTTTATGAAACCGATTTTGGAGTGGCCTGTAGTGTTACACTCCATGTCCATAAGGGATACAGAGATTTCCAAGAAAAATTAACTCATAGCCGCTCAGTCAGCTAGAAAAGCAGACAGGTTGGCTCCAATCTGGAGACAGCGGAGGGCAGGTGGGTGTGGCAGCAGCGCGCTCTCCTGATTGGCTGCTCTCTGAGCGATCAGGTGCCTGCCTGCTGGTCCCGAGGCTCACGGATGTCCAACGCCCCTCCCCCACCCCACCCCCGCCAGCGCGTTAGCGAGGCGCCTCCACTAAACTTCAGCAAAGTTATTTGATCGCCGATAGCGTGAGGCTTGACGTTTCCCGTAACTGACTTTTCCTTTGTAGCAGACTTAAAAAGCTTCAGGACACTTCCTCCTGGTAGACGTTTAAAATGACGTAGGTAAAAGTTATGTAGCTAAAGAAACAACCTGAAACTCCGGAACTCCACAAGTAGGGAAATTGTATCTATCTATCATCTATCTATTGTTTAGATAGCGGGCCTGCTATTTGCACACACGGGACACTTTTCATCCCTTTCTGCATTTAATCATTACAAAAACATCCCGAACGTAATTCTCCCGTTGTACAGATGAAGGAAGATAAAATGCAAGGAATATTAAATACCAGCAACCACAAATCATAAAGTGTTTTTTCCTATGGTGATCCCAAGAAAGAAGAAAAGTATTTGATGTGTTCTATTTTAATGTTGCTGTAATTGCAAAGCGGAAGAGAGTGAAAAGCAGATGTTTTTTGCTTTGTTTTTGTTTTTTTACATGCATGGTTCAGTGCAGATTTTATTTTGTGTTTTTTCGCTAAAGGATGATGACATGCCTGGGCTCTTAAAAGAGCATCAGCACTACTGAAGTGGATCTGATGTCTATCACAAAAATTAGATTTAATGTAGAAAAAAGTATGGCTAATACAAATACAAAATCATAAATACAAAAAATATTTTAAAATCTATTGACTTTTGCCCTGGCTGGTTTGGCTCAGAGGTTAGAGCGTCTAGGAGGTTCCATTCCCGGTCAAAGGGCACTTACCACTGGTTGCAGGTTCCCCCTGGCCTGCATGGGGTTTTGTTTTTTTTGGGGGGGGGGCAACCAATCCATGTCTCTCTGATATCGATGTTTCTCTCTCTGCTACTGTCTCCTTCCTTCACCAGGTTTGAGTAAAGGGATCAGGGTTACTATCTTTGATTTGGAGGTGAAGGAATAGTGGAATGTGAAGAGAATTATTTTCAAATGATGAAAGTGTGGTGTTATATAATGCAGACATATATTAAAGATTTTAGTTTTCTTGGTTTGGGAATATTTATCCCCTCCCCTCTTCTAAAAAGAAAAGAAAAGAAACAAAAACAAAAAGAAAGTAATAAACATTTTAATTCAGCATTAAAAACGTTGACTAAATAAAATTAAGAGAAAAAGAGTGAATTTTTCAAAAATGTCTGTGCTGGAACAGGCATTACGTGAGAGGGCACATCAGCACACACACGCCAGAGACACGGGTGCTGTCACAGAGGAGCTGCCCCAGGCTGGGGCGGGGGCATGCAGGTCTTTCCTAAAGACCTCTCAGACAAACTGAAAAAATGTCCACAGATAACCCACAGGATTGAACATTTATGTTTATTTATAAGTAGCTTCTTTCCCCTTTTCAAAAAAAAATTTTTTTAAAACTTAAGTCCGTGTAAGAAAGAGGAGACTTTATATGAGCCCTAGTTGGTGACTTGACTACGCAAGGCCACCGATGTATGTTGCTGAGGGCTTCACGTTCTGAAATAACCTCAGATGAATCATCGCAGCCCTTGGCCTAAACTGAGAATGAGCTGAGCCTGAGCCCAGCACAGATATGTTTGAAGTGCCCCCTGCTGACTTCCTAGTGACACTGTAACATCTCAAAAAAGCCATTTTAAGAGGCTTGAAACAACTGACTTGAGTAATCATTAAGCTCTTGTATTTTTATTGGAGTTTTTCTTGTTTGTTTTGTAAAATTATATGTAACCAGGAAGAAAGAAGGTATTGTTCTTCTCACCTCTATGATTACTTCCCACAGTATCCAACTGTGCTGGGAAATTAGGAGGTTTGTAGTTAATAGTTGTTGGGTGAATTAATAACACTGAGTAAAAGATGATCCAGTGTTAAAGGGGGAGAAATTACGGTATTATTTATTTTAAATTTTCACTCGCTTCAGTAATTAATGAAACTTGAACCTGTCCATGCGCGCACGCACACACTCTCCGTGCCATAACCTAGTCTACCCAGACCAAATCTATCTGG